CACACACTCATAGACTGATCAACCAAGTTCTCATATGGTTAACCGCTCCTCAAAGACAAATCTCTCAATTCTTAACTCTCTTATAGTGTGGAAGGCACTGTCACTCCAATAAATGCAGTGTGCAAAAACATGACACCACTGTAAAGAGAAAAATGGTTCTAAACAGTACCAAATTAGTTCTTCGGCTTGTAACAATACAATACAATTTTGGTGCTAAATAGATCCCTGGTTTCATAAAGATGCATGCTTTAAAAGTGCTATATAGGACCTTTAATGGTGTTATTTAAAAAAGACTTCTATAATTGGGAGCTTGGGATTATCGTGTAATATTGTTTGTTTTACCGTAAAAGGACACCTGAGTTTAAAGGAGTAGTTCACTTTTGAAAAAACTTTTGCTGATAATTTACTCACCTCCATGTCATCCAAAATGTTCATGTCATTCTTTCTTCAGTCGAAAGAAATTAAAGTTTTTGATGAAAACATTCCAGGATTTTTCTCCATATAATGCACTTCAGTGGGAACTAAACGGTTCACGGTACAAAAGACAGTTTCAGTGCAAACTGCAAACTGTTCAAAGGGCTTTAAACGATTCAGACGATGAATAAGGGTATTATCAAGTGAAACGATTGGTCATTTAAAAAAAAACAACTAAGTTTTATAAGCTTAAATGGTCGCCTTGTTCTGTACTGTGATGCATGTTTGTGACTCTCCTGTTTGAACTCGTTCATCAAAATGAACAAATCTTTTTCCGACTCAATTTGTTCGTTTCGTTCGTTGAATGAACCAATTGACTCGGAAAAAGATTTGTTCATTTTGATGAACGAGTTCGAAAAGGAGAGTCACGAACGTGCATCACAGAACAGAGCAAGGCAAGCATTTGAGCTTATAAAACTTAATTAAATGAGAGATTGTTTCGCTTGATAAGACCCTTATTCATCGTCTGGAATCGTTTAAAGCCCTTTGAACAGTTTGCACTGAAAGTGTCTTTTGGACCTTGAACCTTTTGGTTCCCATTGAAGGCCATTATATGGAGAAAAATCCTGGAATGTTTTCATCAAAAACCTTAATTTCTTTTCGACTGAAGAAAGAAAGACATGGACATCTTGGATGGGATGGGGGTGAGTAAATTATCAGCAAAAGTTTTTTTAAAAGTGAACTAATCCTTTCATTTGTTTAATAAACCAAATAAGATAAGCTTGAAACCTATTTATTGTGTTAAATTATTTGTTAAAAATGTAACATTTTAAACACATGACTGTAGGCCTACGTTATGACTGTAGGAAGTAATCGTTTATTTGAACAGTGTACTTTTACACAACAAACTCTAAATCGTTTTGCCCTCCTTAGTGTGTGAGACTGGGCCGTAAAGATGACGAATGTCAGCATTTTTTTCCCCATCAGCGGCGAGGCAAGTTTCACCAGGAGAGCTCTCTGTCACAGCCTTCACACTTCCACAGCTCTCAGGGGGTCAACAGTGTGTGGAAATGGCCACCCTCAGCAACCTCTGCACCACAGTAAATCAGGCCTTGATGATGACGCTGCTGCTGCACTTTTTAGGTTCAGGGGAGGAGGAGGAGTATCAGATGAGAGGGAAATGAGAGGAGAGATGAGAGAGGAGGATTTAGTGTGTGGGAGGATTGCGGTCTGAGGTTGATTTGAAGCTCTCCCAAGGTTGCCTCGGATCTCCGTCATCTCCATAGTTGCTTTTCTGTTTATGAAGCAGAGTTTTGTTTTTCTTTTCAAGTTCTGTTGGTGACTTACTGCGCGCGTGCGACTTTAGTCTTTGTCGCATTTCACACAGCCCACAATCAGAAAAGGGATGTATTTCTTTAATATTAAAGGGGTGGTTGATTATGATTTCACTTTTCTAATACTTCAGTAGTGTGTAATGTTGCTATTTGAGCATAAACAACATCTGCAAAGTTTCAACGCTCAAAGTTCTTTTAAAGAAATAGGTTTTTAAGGACTACAATAAACGGCGGGAAGGGACTACACAAGCTTCCTCCCGGGTTAGTGACATCACAAACCCTAAAATTGACATAAACCAAGCCCCGGGAACACGATTTATAGATTATCATGACAGGATATGCTAATCAATGACTAAGATAACTACACATAAGCTACATAAATTCGTCAACAAACCATTCAGAAATGGCCTGTTGCATTCTACATGTTGTCACTTCTTGAGTCTCTCCATCTGACTCGGGTTTGAACAAAAAAGGCTAAAAGTTTTTGAAATTTTTAGTACATGTCTGTGTGAGGTAAAAAGACACAAGCTGTTGAAGCTCCGCCCCCTGTAGCTCGTTTGCATTTAAAGGAATCAACACAAAATGATGCGTTTTTGCTATAAAAATAACTGTGAGGTATTTTGAGCTAAAATTTCACATACACACTCTGGGGACATCAAAGACTTATTTTAAACTCGTGTGAAAAGGACATTATGCCATCTCTTTAAGCCTCAAATTATACACCTTTTAGACTTATCTTAAAAGTTTAGTGTATAAAACATTTTCTCTTGAGCATCCTGGCAACACGGACTCCAGTGGTGTCAGTTTAGGGCAGACCTATCTGATTGCCTTAACAATGGAGAACCTGTTTAGAACAGTCATTATACCAGATGGTGATGGGCAGAAATTACAGAAGCAAGAGAAGAGTTCAAATTCAAAGAGTTTAAACCTGCCCCCCTGCTTGCTATGAGTGAGGGAATTAGAGGCCCAAATTCAGAAGCTGAAGGAAAGAGAGCGTGAAACCACAGATCAAATGATAAAGACGAAAAAAGTAGTCGCCTGGCACGGGGAGCCTCTGCTAAGCACTGCAGGAAGTCATCGGTACAGAGGAGCTAGTCATTAATTTGAAATGATACCTGCGCTAGGCTGGCTGTGGGCCAAACCAAATACAGGTAACGGTGAGGGGAATGCAGCCCTTTTCCTCTGGCTTTGAATGAGCTTTTCTAATTAATATATGGGCCCTGTGTCACCAGGAAGCAATTAGGGGGTGTTGAAGCTGTCACTTCTTGTCTTCATTGAAAAACCTCTCAGTCAGAGGCAGTTACTTCAATACACAGATCAATACACAGTTTTGCTTTACTAGCTTTGTAACCTTTTATCTAAAAACATTGTTACAAATTCAGTGCAAAGTGCGTTTCATTGTATTCTTTGGAGGTTGTAATTCAGGATTTGCAATGGAAATGAAAAAGCTTCAACGAGTGTCAATAACTCTCCTTGAAATTTTCCTGTATGAGGTGAAGAGTGGAATTATTTAATACATGCATATTGAAAGTAAAAATAGTTTTGTTTTTCATGACAAAAACTTTTGAAAATAATTCAAGAAATATGATTTTTTTTATCCATTCAGTCACTGTGTACATGTTAATTATAACAACCTAATCATTATTAATTTTCAGTTTTTCTAATGAATGCAAGTGTAGTTTAAGATTTTAAAATGTTCGGCAGCAATATATATATATATATATGTTGTATTACATCACTAAGACATTTCTAAAATCTAGGGGGGGGTTTGGCCTCCAATATATGCACTGGCAGCCATCTGGATTGAATAAAAATACATGTTAAGAAGTTTGGAGGTGATTGAAGACATGGCAAATAAATCAATAAAACACCGCTTTGCTGACACTCCTGCATTTCACATTTGCTCCATAAATAGATTAAGTTACATTTGACTTCATTGGTTTTATTAAGTATTTCATACAGTTAATCATTTTGGCATCCAGCAGTCCACATTCATCTTACCAGTCCTTTATAGGGAGCCTGAGCCCCCTGAATGCGGTTTTGTTCGTGAGGTTACACACTCAGTGGCTTGTCTGGCAGTGACATACTGGACACTTATTGGCTTCATTGTTTATTATGGGAGTGCAGTCTCAGAGTTGCCAGGTTGGTCAGTATTTACGGTGCTCTGTGACCCATGCCGTGGCTTTGTGGATCGGTGGGGTGATAGAGAGGCCAAGGTCTGGTTCAGGTGAGGCTAGGGTTTCAGTACGACTCCCCTCCATTTACCCTCCCTATGGATCCACGGGCCAATTCACCCACCGGCCTCTTTCAGCCCTACAGCTGTAAATGTCACCTGACTCCTGCCACACCAGCACTTATTGACAGGTCTTTTATTTCTGCCGCTTTAATGAGTGTTAACACTCCTGTTTCATTCCCAAGGTTTTACAAGTATACTAAACACCATTGCCCCCAATAATTCGATGCACTTTGGATGGTTGTTGCTTTTAGACAATTTAAATACATGAGGTTAATATTAAATAGTTTACATTTTATATACAAAATTGCCATTTATGTTGTCTGCCAAATACAAATAGTTTTAAACAATGCAGTTTCATTCATGACAGTAGCTTATAAACACAATCACTTGTTTCATTTCTGAATGAATCCACATTTTTTTTTTAATGAATTCGTTTAATAAATGATCCAATGACTCGCTCACAAAGAAATCGAGACCTGCTCAGCGAACCGAAAGTGATGTGTAACTCGCGACCGAATTATTCTATTGATCTGATTCTTTTCAATGAACCGGATCAACAAACTGCATTGAACGATTCTTTGGCAAATTCAACTGAAATTATCATAGCAGTTAATTCACCGATTCAAGAACTCAATGTGTGCAGACTCTTAAAGATGTCATATGAACTCTATTTAAGCTCTGTCCTATCTGTAAAAATACAACTGTGTACCAAAAATTCGAGGTAAAGATTTTTATTTTGTACTCGTACATTTTAATTGCTCAACTTTAGATAATTCATTCATTTAACTTAAAATTATCATATAATCTCAACTTAAATATTTTAGTAATAGGAACTTGGTTATATAGTAGCTTTAAGCTATTTTAGTAAATACTAACTTGCTAATTGGTAACACAATGTTTAGATAACATTAGACAACAATTCAACAATTGCTGAATAAGTACGACAATATAAAACATTTCAAGTGTCATGGCAAAGCATGCTGGAAAATAGAAAGCCCAGCCCATTTTCAGATCAATTTGTCTAAAAATAATGTTTTAATTAAGTTAATAAAACTCAGAACAATGCAACAAGTCAGATTACTTAAAATGTGTCAGTTTTGTGAACTCATAAGAAAAAGAAAATTATAAATACTCATAAAAGTTCATTTGATTGAACTATTTTGTTTAATTTCAGTTTATCCTACTCAGACCAATTAATTATTTTCAGTGTTAGGGTTTACAGTAAATGGTTCTAGACAGAAACCCTATTCAGGAAGCTCTATATTAGTAGTCATTTCAGCAAATTAACAGTAGAGAAGACGGATTGAAAAAGAATATGAAAGAATAATCAGCTTCTGTTGTTTTGTAACAGCAACATATTTGAATTAAGTCTTCCTAAAACAGAGTGCTAATGGACTGATGACAACTTGATTTATAAACTTAACGCATGTACACATCTTCCCAGCCACTCCGCTCTGTTCCTCTTCCCTTCATTCTCTCTCTTAATTTTTTTATTTTAATATTAGATTTTTAAAAAAGTAATACAAAATCAATACATATTTTAGGAAGGGGTGCTCATAGGGGATTTTCATATTTGGGAGTTTCATACTTGTACAGTAGTTGATCGCAATAGTGACTTCATGCCATTTATGGCAAAAATCTAAAGTTCACCATCACATGCTGCACGAGTGTTTGTCCACTCACCATGGGAGGTTTTTGCAGTTCATGACGGTTCGTGACTGTTATGGTGTGATAAACATCTTGACCTTTGACCCATCCTCCCAGAAAGCAGCTGTCATCTCTTACCATCAAAGAGCATTCTTTGAAGATGAGAAGGCTGTTCCTTAAGTTACTGCCCATCTGAACCTTGAGTAACTTCTTGACTAATCAAGAGATGCTCAGCAATATCTAAAAGGATGTTCCCTCATGTGATCTTACCATGCACACAACAAAATAAACAGGCTTCTGTACAATCCATGTGCATTAAAGAAAGAAAATGATGGTCGGTGTTATTCTAACCCGTTTTAATGTTTACAGAAAATGTCCCCATGGTGTCACTGTAATGCATGGGCTATGAAAACATGTATGTTATTAAGCAAAGTCTTTTTAGTCATTGAAACCATACTGAAATAATAGCCTTTATAATCTCCTCAACTGGCCTGCAGTGATGTATATTAGCTTTGTTATGCTAAGATAATCGCAAAAGCAAAATTCAATTCATGTCATAGTCAGGTTGAAGAAGAAGAAGAGACAAGGAATCTTTGTCTTTAAATTTTATGAACCATCTGTAACGATAATGTTTGTTTTGTTCAACATGGATTAAAATAGCTTGATTGATGCGATGTGATAATGGTCAAAATAAATATCACTTAAGTTTTTAACTTTCATAGTTATACAAGATTTAACTATTTTAAGTCAGCTTAATGTAATTTAAGTTGAAGTGACTTCCAAGATGATTGTACTAGGTACACTCACAGTGTATAAAGTTTGTCCACCCTGTTACATGGCATTTATAAAAATGCAATGTGATGGACGTTTTAAGCTTAAAACCCTTTATTAGCTAGAACAGAACAACATACCAGCAGACGATTTACATTAAGGAAGAATTTTAATAGATATATAAAATATATTACATGTCCATAAATGGACACAACAGTGTTATTGTTGTGTTATGGAAACATAGCACAAACATGTTATGTTTTACGCTATTAAATACGTCATCTAAAAATGAGGAAGAGAGATAAAAGTTTATGACTGATTCTTTCTTTGTTCTTGGAGTTGCTTTCTTTCCAAGGAAATGATGTCATTTCTATCAAGTCATGTGATATAGGGCACATGCTTAAAATTTTAAAGGGCAAATTATATTTTATTGCCTACTAAAACTCATCAACTTATCTTAAAAAACTAAATTAAAATGTCAACTGAAATCATTTTTTTCCTCATTAATTATTGTTTTTATTGAGGAAATTACAGGACTTTAAATGTTTGGAATAAAAAAAATGAATACTTGCTTTATCAATACTTTAACAAGTAACTTTTTATAGGCTACAGCAGAATACCAGATACAAAACTTAGACTATGTGGGTGGGGGCTTTTAAATCTTGTGTTGGACAATGGAGGGCCTTAGAGTCAAAAAGTTTTAACCACTGTTTAAAAACCTTAATTTTCCTTGAGGAAAGTCACCTCTTTCACACAAAGAGTTTTGTGTGGCATACTGAACAATATGGCTTCCCTCCCTGCTCCTTAAACACCCCCTGACTCAGCTGCCGGAGGCAAAACGCACACACAAAGTGGTCGGGGTGAAACTTGCGGTCCAGAGCAGAGATGCAGCGACCTGAGATGGGCTCTCCGCAGGTCCCACACAGAGTGCCCTGTCTCGAGTGATAGTGCAGGGAACAGAGGGGCCGACCGTTCAACTCAAGAAAGCAACCGTCTGTGAAAGGCTTCAGACAGTCCTGGAGAGAGATGAAGAAAGTGGGCATTAATGAGGAAGAATGATTGTGGAGGTGAAGAATTCACCTATGAAGCTCACTACAATAGCACAGACTGGCTGACTCCATATTCCTTCATAATAAGGAGAAAGTCACACGACTGTATTGCATTCCAGTCTTAAACGCCACTAATTCACTCACCGCACATACAAAGCAGTCGGGGTGCCAGGTTCCATTGGCTGCGGACAGATAGTTATCCTTCACTGGCTCTCCACAGCCGGAGCATTTGGGTGCAAAGAGGCGGTAGAAATCCCTAGAGCAATATGGTTTACCATCTTTCTCCATATAGCCTGCAGACAAAAACACATTTATTAAGTACAAAAGATCATTTTTCAAATGATGACCAGATCCGCTGACTTGTTTAATTGGGGAATTTCCAATTGTCTCACCATCAGGTCCAAATAGATCCCCACAGTGGGAGCAGAAGAAATGTTCTGGGTGCCATGTTTGATCCATCGCTGTTAGAATGTTCTGTGCAAAACACACTAATTTACCACCTTGTTTGTCAAGTGAAAATGTCATTCCAAATATTTGTATATACGAATTTTAAATAAATGAAATTATTATTAAATAAATAAAAATGTTTATTTATAGATATTCAAAAATTTAAATAAATAACACTGTAAACAAAATGTTTTCATGATTTGTAATCACAACATTTTTTCTTTTGTCAAATCAACTTAGATCATTTATGTAGTTCAGATAACATAATATTTTGAGTTTCTGGTGATTAAATTAATCTCCTTCATTGTATTAACTCAATTTTTCCATTTCTATGAATTTTCAATTTTAAGGCAACCAGATTCCTTTTTTTTAAGTTAAACCAACAATATTTTTTACAGTGTAGGTAATAGGTAATAAGAAGGTAATAAATCTAAATAAATGTATACTATATATATATATATATATATATATATATATATATATATACATTACATTATATATTTTAAATATTACATTTGATATTTTTATATTTTTTGTAAATTACATTTTTACATATTTACTAATAATTTTATTTCATATTTAGAATTTAATAATTAATTCTAATTAGTTATAAATGTATATAGTTGTATTATACAATATATATATATATATATATATATATATATATATATATATAATAGAGCCAAAAATAAAGAAAATAGTCTTTAGAATGCAACACAAATATAAGAAATGTTCATTTAAAACTGTAACTGAGCCTTCCAAGGGTAAATACACACAGACATGGCGAGTCACCTGTGTAATAGGACCCTTGCAGTAAGCGCAGCGAGGGGAAAAGAGGTTTTGGTAGTCTTTTTCACAGTACGGCTTCCCGTCTCTCTCAAAGAAACCACTGCTGCCGAATTCTTCCCTGCATGTCGTACACACAAAGTGTTCTGGGTGCCACACCTGACCCAAAGCTGTGATCATCTGCACGGGTAGAAAAACATAGACAGTAAATTGTGAGATGACAAATTTGTTAATTCAGAAAACTCACCAGATTTGCAGAGAACAAAACATTATTATAATAAAATATTTTGTCTGTATCTTGCTAGTACCTTCCCAGCTATACACTTGCCACAAGAAGCACAATGGCCTTTGGCAGCTGTGCGGACCCCCATTTTCTCCATGTCCGAGCTGAGAGAGCCCAGCAAGTCGTCTATAGCATCCACACTCTTGGATACTTTCTCTGACAGGGGAGGATGCTGTGGTTTCTTCCCCTCTTCCTGACTTCCACTATCACTTTCTTTAGTTTCCTCTGTTTTTTTGCCCTTTACTGACTTGCGAGCCACTGGAGGAGGGCTTGATGTAGGAATTGGTTCTGAAACCTATAAAATAAAGTATATGTGGTCCATTTCAAAGCATTATGATTTTAATTGATTCCAATTGGCATGAATTAGTAGCGTTAATACACTTATACTGCCCTCTTCTGGTACCACTCATTATGTGCAATGGCGGTAAAATGCGCGTTGATGCATGAAAAGATGAACTGATGTCAACCTCATGTTTCCCTCACCTCCAGACCGAGTCCCAGCAGCTCATTCATGATGGAGTCTAGCTCTCGCGTAGCTGTGCCGGGACTCATCACTCCTGCCTCCACAGGGGCTGGAAGCATGCTAGAAAAAGATTATTGTTCTTGGTGAACAGCTGAACCTCAAAGGACAGCAAGCATGCCAAAATATGATCTCACAAATAAGATACATACAACAGATATTTGTATTGTATATTTTTCAAAAAGATGGATGTACCTGTAGGCATTATCACATTTCTGTCCTCCACCAGCAACAAGACATGAGGATTCAATCTGTGACGATAGGGAAAAAAGCATTTAGAAAGACAACGCATTCTCATTATCGGGTAGGTTTATGTCTGGTGTAGGTTTAGACGCGATCCCAGGGCGTCATATAACTGACGCTAAAGGGTGCCTAAAGCGTCGGATATTGAAGCATGGTCAAAATGCTTCCCAATTAAGGCGTCAGTTAGATGACGCCTTGGGATGAGAATGGGCTGAGAATGAATAAGTTTAGGCCTAAATATATATGTATTAGCTATTAAAGACAAAAAAAAAATAGTTCAAAAATTAGTGGTCAGTAAGATTTTATTTAAAAATAATAGTCATACTTATTTCGCAAGGTTTCATTGAATTGATCTAAATGTTTAAATGTTATAAATCAAAGAATCCTGAGAAAAAAATATAATTTACATTTAGCAGCACAACTGTTTGCATTGATTATAAGAAATCTTATCAGCATATTAGAATGATTTCTGAAGGATCATTGTGACACAAGAAATGATGCTGAAAATTCAGCTTTGTCATTACAGGAATAAATTACATTTAAAAAAATATAAACCAGTTATTTTAAATGTATAATAATATTTCGTAATATTACTGTATTTTTGAAAAAATAATGCTTTCTTTGTGAGCAGAAGAGACTAATCATACTGACACCAAACTTTTATGTTTTTGAAACTGTAATGTTTTCAAAATTCTTGTTTCAGTACAACTTGAAAATGGTTTGCATGAAATGTAATTACTTGTTCAAACTGAGTTGTGTTGTTGCTTTTAACGGACGCTTCCAGTGAGAAAGGTTTGGGTGGAATGGGTGCAGGAACACTTGAAGTCTGGGTGGAGTTCTGAGCCAACTGCTCCAGAAGCATGTCTGAAATATCAAAATCACATGAAAATAATGCAGTGACACTGAAATCAGGAAATCAGTGACACTGAACTCGAACTGACACTGAGAAAAAAAACATACTGCATTACAGCAATCATGTTTACAACTAAAGGTGAAGCCGCTCAACATTAGCAATTTGTGTCATTTCCTGAGGAAGTGAAAAGGCACCACACTGTCATCGCAACGGATGCAGAGCACAGAACATAAAAAAACACTTGAATTTCAAAATTTTGCAACAATTTTTTGCTGACATAGGAAATGTTACTAATAGAAATGGGTGGTCTGACTAACTTCTGTAAGACTACCAAGAAAAATACATGGAAGAACATAATTTTATTCCTAATACAACACTTCTCACATGGAGGAAAAACGTATATATTCTCAGTATAAATGCTGCCAGTAAAGGATATTTATATATACACTCTAAAAAATGCTGGGTTGTTTTAACCCAACTTTGGGTCAAATATGGACTAACCCAGCTGTTGGGTTAAATTTTTACATTACATTTTTAACCCAACATTTCGGGTTTGTCCATATTTGACCCAAAATTGGGTTAAAATAACCCAGCATTTTTTAGAGTGTAGTATACCTATATATTCTTTTTTATTTCCCGAATGACAACATTTCTCACTCTATCCCAGAATGTCCTGGTTTAAATAGATATAAATACACCCAACTATTCAAAAAAAAAAAAAAAAAAAAAAAGGTGACAATGTTCACTGATGCTCAAGGAGGCAACACAATGCATTAAGAGCCAGGGACGTAAACTTTTTGAATTGGATGATTGGGGTAAATTGTACTTATTTTGTCTTCTGGGAAACATGTAAATATCTTGTATACATGTAGCTTCTGAAGGGTAGAAAAAAGCTAAATCACATCAACATCCTGTTCAAAAGTTTACTGTACATCCCCGGCTCTTAATTCATCGTGTCTCCTTCTTATTTCACCTTTTTAAATAATTGTTTATGAGCCCCTCAATTGTCCTCAGCGTGAAAAAATGGATCTAAAATTATACATTCACTGTTCGAAAGGGTTCAATTATGCAGATTCAGAAAATGCTGGAAAACCAAAGAATGAGACCTGGAGGATTCTGAAGAACATGGGCAATTTAACTGCTCAAGTATTAACTGCTCACCAACAACACAGTATTAAGATTCTAGGGTATGTAAACTTTTGAAATGTGTATTTGTGTAAATTCAGTTAATGTTTTGTCTTGTGGCTTTTTATAATCCGTATTTTGTTCAAATGATTAACATCTTGCATATTCTTCAAGGGGTATAGCCAAACAGCAGACCTGTACATCTATAGAGACTGATTAAGACTTTAGTGTTAGAAGGACACAGAACGTCGAACAACTCACCGAGTTCATCCATGGTGGTCTGAGGCTTGAGATGAGAGGTAAGCAGCGCACGTTGCGTGTTCTCAGTGAGCATGTGTGGTAGGGTGATCTGATACATGCAGCTGTGGGTTGAGCTCAGTGAAACTGATGTTGCTTCCTTTTTGTGTTCTTGTTATTTCAGTCCTTTTCTCATGTATTTCACCTTTTTGCATTTTGCTGTCATTTACCAAAATGAACACTGAATGATTTGAGTGGCCGTTTGGCCGTGTTTAATTTTTATTATTATTAGTAGTAGGCTATTAGCTGTATAATACATATAGTAACCTAATAAAAGTGGTGTTACAAAACCAGTGTAATTAGATTGTTTTAGAACATTGTTGAAAATGTTTTACCAATGGTTAAAAATTAAGGTAGGCTAAATGTGTAAAAAGAAAAGTGTGTACGTGACAAGATAGCATGTTTAAGAAGTGTAGGCTACTGTAAACACTCATGAACAGCACTTTGGTACCATTTTATTCATTTTTTATTATTATTTTTTTTTAGAAATGACTTATAGGCCAAGTCTTTTCACACATAAAACACTGTTCTGATCATGTAAAATTATAACATCACGGTGATTATTCTCAGACTACATTTCCCATAGATCTTTGCCCTGCCGTGAAGAATGCTGGGACAGGAAACTTCCGATTCGGTTTCTCTATCTGCAGCTCGCTTGACATATACCCCAGTATTAAGCAGATGAATTCAGCTGATATTCATTATTTTTATGTAGCATCTCTTTCGTGGCGAGATAAATTCCATGCTCGTTACACTGAGTTAAGCTGTAGTCTGTTGATTGACTGAGCGGTTCCTCCTTAAAAGGGCAACAGTTCGAGCGAGTGGGCCCCGCAAACACTTTCGCGCAGGGTCTTATTTAAGGTATGACAGAGGTTTCCTGATGTCGGTTACTTATGTTATGACCGTTATGACTTTGTTGTTGGACCTTAATATAACGTTACTTACACTTTTGTCATTACTATATGCATCTATTTAAAATGAGGCCTGAGAGCAGCTAGGGTGGCACTTTCAATGAATAGGCTAGAGTAGCCTACATAAGACTTAAACTTTTAAAATTACTTTTTTTCCCCTGACCCCCTTTTTTCCCATAGAAAAACAAACAAATAAACAAAAAAATCAACTACGCGTAATTGTCAGAGTGTTTTTCTCTCTTTTATTTCAGTGTGTGTGGCACCTGTCAGGGTGATGTCGTCCTCTAGCGACACTCCTCGGAGTCAGTGGCGCAGGGAGTTGGATGCCCGCAGGAGTAAGTCTCGCGTGCGGCTGGGTTCGTGTCTGCAGAGCTGGGGTCATCTCAAAGAGAAACTGGGCTTTTCTCTTCACTCAGAGCTCGCTCAGCATCTGCTGCAGAGGTATAAAACAGTCAGAGAGATACAGTTACCCTTAGACCGATGACAGTTCGTTGAATGTGCTCTCTAGAATTCCAGTTAAATCACATCTGCAGTTGTTGATTCTGGCTTTGTAGAGACTTCATTTTTTTCCATTTGTTGTGATCGTGTTCCAGATCATACAGGGGAAAAGACAGGACTTATGAGTGAGCTTAAAATGAAGTATAGGCAGAAAAACAAAGATGAACTTGTGGTTTATGGAGTTAAAAACATATTGAAGTTTGGCTGACAGCCAAGTATTTTGGTGGTGTGAAGCATTATAGATAAGATGTGGTCTAACTGACGATGACAACTGCTTCCTGTTTTGCAGCTATGTATCAAGAGTTTGCATCAAGTGCTCAGGTAAAGGGATAGTTCATACATAAAATTATAATTATGACATCATTTACTTTTTCATTTTTGTATAAAGTTGTTCTAAACCTGTATGACTTCATAACTAAGTGTAACATTTTCAAACATTCACTGCTAAAAACTATTTTCTTCATATTTTTGTCTTTTTCCACTTCAAATATTTAAAGATTCTTATATCAGAATACAAGATATTAAGTCTTATTTTCTGAATAATGTATCAACATTTTGTGTTTATACTTAAAACAATAAAAAAATGTCTGTCACTCGTGTAAGAACTAATTGCATTATATATATATATATATATATATATATATATATACTTTAGTTTTACATGTCACTATGGCTTCTTTAGGTGATTGGAAAGGAGAGATCACAAGCACCTTATCAACTACCAAGGAATCTTTGCAGGAACTTATCCTGCTGGTCCACAACCATGGGCGGATGTGCCTTTCCCCCCCTGTCCTGCATTCTCGGCCTGTCACAAAAGCAACAATTCAAGATCAGAGTGCTCATGCAACAGGGAGAAGAGAAGCTGAAACCAATTCCAAGGACTGTGAGGTGGACGTGTGTCTCAAGTACACCTGTGAAGGTGGACATGACTTTTTGTGGTCTCCTATTAAGATGGATAAGGCAATGACATCTACAAACGAAGGTGAAATAACTGCAGCCAGCCCAAAGAGACTCAAACAACGAGGCAGGAGGTGGATGAAGGATCCAGAAGCAGAGATAGAAAGACAAGAGGTGATGATGGCTAGATTAAAAACCAGACGGCAACTACGAGAAAACGCTAAAGTTACCACAAATGACGCCGAACAGAAAAACAACACAAGGTCTCAAACGTTCGGAGACAACAAGAATGCAGGTGACTTTGTTTTTAAGGATTTTTCTCAAATAAAGATGCTGTTTTTGTTTTTTAAGAAATAACTAGAATCATGTGTTAAGGTGTTACAGTGACTGAGACTTCTGAGACACAGAAAGGAAATAATGTGGCAGCTGACTTTTCGCATTCAGAACATAGGTATATATTTTTTGCATATTTGAATGTTTAGCTGTGTTTATAATATTTAGTTTAATTATGTCTTCTCAATCTTTTTCTGATTGTCAGGTCTTCAGCAGACAGTGATGAGATGACTGAAGATGAACCTGCCAGGGTTTGCACTGAAAACCAAAGCCCCGCTGATAGGTATTTCCTCTATTCATCTACTCTCTTAATGAATCAATTAGACATGTTAAGCCAAGTCTCTGTCTCCTAGCAGTGAGGAAGTTGCAGTGCTGAATTTAACCAACAGAGGGATCCAGAGTAGAGCAGATCCTACTGAGAAACACAACACCAACAAAAAGGCAGGAACACTTCACAATAACAGGTAATTTTTCTAACTGCAGATGTTTTTTATATTTTCATATTTTAGGATTTTCTAACAAGTTCAATAAAATCTTAAGTTCTTTACTTTTTTCTCTCCAGTCCACAGTCTTTGAAAGATGATGTGTCCCAGATTGGTGGCAAGAGAAAACGGTTTGTTTTTTTTATTTTACCAATATGAATATTGTTTATAAAATATTTACTGTATTTATATACACCTTATGTATAGTTATTTGAGTTTTAAATATTAGAATAGTAATTTATTTTATTTATTTGGTGATATTTTCATGGTTTTATTTTGAATGCCTTATGATGTCCTATTGTTGTATCATATGTTGACGTCATATTACATGATACTGATCTCTGCGTTTACAGAAAATCAACATCCAAAGTGATTTTGCCTTGTGAGTTTCAAGGCTGCGATAAGATTTTCTCTAGTCGGCAATATCTCAATGTGAGTGCTGAGTCAATATTGACTGTCCATGACACATTCATTAGTCTTTACTATACTAAAACATTTCCCATTGTTCTGCACTGATCTGACTGTTAGAAAAGAAACTTTATTTAAAACACAATTACATTGATTGCAACTTTATTTAAAACAGAATTATGTTGATTGCAAGGTTAAATGGAAAAGCATCAGCGCTGAGTCAGGATGGAAAAGCGTCTCACAATCTGTTCCTCTCCTCAGCATCATGTCAAGTACCAGCATCTCCAGCAGAAGACCTTCACCTGCTCGCATCCCCCCTGCAGCAAGTCATTCAACTTCAAGAAGCATCTGAAGGAACATGAAAAGTTGCACAGTAGTGAGTATTCAGTCCAAGTCCACCTTATTCCTGACGACCTTTCTGTGTTTTGAATTATGGGTGGCACTTCTGGTTTGGGGAACTTCCATTCAAAAAGACTGAAACGAATGTGTCGAAAATCATCTTTGATTGTTGATGTCAAATGCTGGATGTCTTATCAAAGTCTGGCCTAGTGTATTTTGGTGCAAATTAATTTACATTTAATTGAAGGCATGTAGAATCCAAATTAGTCAATGCTAATAGATGCAAAAGTAGATGCAAAAGTGGACACAGTGAAAAAAAATCCTCAAAAAAAGTTCCCATTTTTATTGTGTTTGTCTTTTATATACTATATACTATAATGTACTTGCATCAAAAAAAGTATTATTTGGTACAACATAAACTTGTAAATGCAATGCCAAAAATGTATTGCATGTATTTTGTTTAAATACAATGTAAAAACGTGTATGTATACAATAAGTGCATTGTATCAAATTGTTATTTTAAAGGTTAGTACATTGTAGTTTATGGCACTTTAAAACCATGAACAATTACAGAAAGTTAAAGAAAATCCAATCCAGACAGCAGAAGTAACTTACAGTATAAACATGGATTGTGTGTGCTTTGAATTATTGGATGCTGAAATTGCTTTCATACTGTATGATATTTAAACAAGGTAAAATTAATAATAATAAATTTTAGTGTAATTATAGTGAAAGTTTTGTTTACTTTGTATGCTAAAAAAATATTTTTCTAATGTCAAATCTATGTCCAGAAGCAAACCCACTGAAGACCCGCTGGACAAAAACAGTAAGCAGTAGGGATGAGTGATGTTTTTCATGTTGTGGTTAGTAACACGGTTCTCTCTATATGATTCTTTGTGCCTGTGAGATCAGAGAGACTATATCTGTGAGTTCTGTGCCCGGGCGTTCCGAACCAGCAGTAACCTGATCATCCACCGCAGGATACACACCGGAGAGAAACCACTGCAGTATGAGTTTCACCACATACACACACGTGCACTAGGCCCTTTGTTTTATACCAAAGCTTGCGTACATCCCAAACAAATTTTTGCATGAACATTCCCTCAATATTTAGCACAACAACTGCTCAAGGCTTTGCTATTACAGTTCTCAGCTCCAGATATAACTCACCCCTTCTCTCTTTTTCAGGTGTGAGGTGTGTGGCTTTACCTGTCGACAGAAAGCCTCTCTGAATTGGCATATGCGGAAGCACAATGCTGAGAGCACCTACCAGTTCCCCTGTGAGATCTGCGGTCGTCGCTTTGAAAAGAGAGACAATGTCACAGCTCACCGAAGCAAGAGCCACCCAGACAACAAACACCCACTCCTGAGCTTCTCCTTCCTCCTTCTGACCCAGTCCCGCATCCTTTTGCGCAGCGCAGATCTTCCCCTTCTGTTTCCAGGAATCACATTTCTGTAGAATAACATTTGTGATGCCGTGTTTTGATGAAATATGGTACCATTTGTGCATCCTTGAACTTGAGCAAACTTTACTGTGGGACTGATTGGCTTCTATAAACAAACTGAGAAATTGCCATGTGGTTTATCTGATGGTGTTTATTCTGATTTTGGTGAAGTATATATTGTGTTTTCATCATGCAGAGGCTGGACTTATGTAAAATGACCTAAATCAGCACAATCAGGTCATTGTTAGTTGGAGTTGCATTAGTTAAAAACATTTTTAAATAACAAAATAATTTAACAAACTTTTAAGGCATCAAATAGAACTAAATGTGATTGATTTATTTATTTATTTATTTATTTGTTTTTTACATTTTAGCAACAAAACTTGATATTTATGGTTTTGTGTTGAAATTCTACTACTTTAAAAAATTATCAACACAAAACATTTTTGGCTTGTATGATATATATATAACTCCCCTGTACACATGCATTAATCACAGTTGTCTGGAAAAAATGTGTTGCACACAGACAACACATTTGTTGAGATTTGAACAGTGTTTTGTCATGATGGATTTCTGTAAAGAAATGCATTTGCATAGATTATAATAATCGAACTCAAGGGTTCCCGCCTTTAGTAAAGCCTTACTTTGATTAACAAACACTTTATCCAATGACTCTTCTCCATGAGAAGTGGGCGTTGCCTCTTGAAATAGAACCATTCTCTATTGGCTAAGAAAAGCGGTATTGGAAACGCAGTTGCCATGCCTACACAGCTTTGCTCCGGTGACGCTTGAGTGACAGGAAAAAAGAACCAATAGGAGCACAAAGAGGCGGGGCTTTTCTAACACTGTCAACTCTTCGTTCAAAAACCTTGTTACTCTCCGTAACACATTGCCACGGTCGGATCAACTACCGGCGATGAAAATGAGCCTCACTGTTTTTACTGAAACCACAACATAGGTAGGTAACATGCTTTTTACGTTTCTTTTCACAGTTTGTAAATTTATTGGTTATGCTGCTGAAACGTTTTCACGGGAATGCAACATAATAGGCGTTCAGCACTAGCAGTTCATTGTACGTGACACTGACAGTGAGGCTTTCCCCAGCGGAGCATCTCTGTTTCAGTGTGTCAGCATTGTGGAGCAAAAGCTTGATCATTTGCTACAAGGTCAGTTTGGGCTGCAGCGCACAGCATGTGTGGTGCTGTTCCTCATCAGTTCAGTGCATATACATTTCCTCTGTTAGAACAAAGACTTAGACGCCGTGCTTTGTGGAAGGAAGTTGCTGTGACAGATCCGAATAATGATGGGCAAAGTAGTGGAGAAGTTGAACAGATTATTTTGTTTGTTAATTATTTGTGTTTTTTAAATATGATGTTGTATCTTTTTTGTCTATTGCTTCAGGTCTAACTAGCATCTACGTGTCACTAATGCTTTTTAAGTATTAGTAAATAATCCTAGAATCAAGTCTCTAGTACTTTTTACATAGTAGTTCTTCATTTAATTGCTATTGGTCACCTTCCTAATAGTGGGGGGATGTAACTATTTCAGTAAAAAATGTAGTAAAACATTTTACTTACACTTTATTTTTAAGGTGTCAGTATTACTGTGTTATTATACATTTAAGTTCTGAGGAATAATAATTAACTACATGTACTTACAGTATATGGTTAGGACCAAACTAAACCCTAATCCTGTCACTGTAAGAATAAGTCTGTAATGGATACATACTAAAATCCCAATAATCCAAATAGGTCTATTTTTGGATTACTTTCTAGCAATTAAAAATAAGTAGGCTACTGGATAGCTAGTTACATTTTAGAAAAGCGTATTCAGATTTCACCAATATTCTAATAGCAGCTCTATTTAGACTGTTGAATTTCATGCCCTGAAAGACAAATCATTTGTTTTGCAAATTGTGTGGTTGTCCCTGTCATTCTTGATGAAGTGGATAAGGAGAAATATCTCTAGAAGTAGCTAGTCGTCTGTTCAGAAGTGTGGCAGGTTATTTCTAGAAACACTTGCACCGTGTCACATTCTGAGCCATGTGGTTGTAGATTTTGTGGAGAATGGCTGCAGGTTCATTTTTCATATACCCACATGGTCAAAACAGAGTGTGCAAAGCTGTTATTGTGCAACACAGATCCTGGGTCTCACATACACTCGACTTCTCTGTGGGATCTCTTGTAAATGCACGTCATGGTATTCCCATCTCATGACGAGAGTCTTGTGATGCAGATGCAGATTGTCTTTTGCGTGTGTTTCTTGATTCTTGTTCTTGTTTAGTCTATCCTTAAAAGAACCCAGAGATTCACAAAAGACTTGCGTATCTACAGTACACAAACATAACATTCTTAAGACAATTTTAAGATGCACTTGAGAGCACTGAGATGTGTCTAAGATAGGAATGGACTGCTTTTAAAAACAAATGAACAAACCATTGAACCATCCTCTTCTAGTTCTCGAGTTGCGGGTTCTGGAGTTGAAAGTGTAGTAAAATAAATAAATAAATAAATTGTCTTGATGTTCACTTTCTGAAAAAGTGAAATACTGTCCTAATGACATGCTAAGATTTCAATGCAAACGTGTAATATTAAGCCAAATGGGTTTTAATATCACTTTTAGCAAGGGTATAGTATGATCTCTGTATAATAGCCTTTAAATGCAATATATATATATATAAATTATACTTGCAATAGTTCCACTTTAGCACAAACAAAAATACTTAAGTATATCTTTAGTTGGACCTTAGCACAACTTCTGGATAAAATTAGTTGTACCAATTCAACAGACTTTAAATAAATCACTTGACTTTAGAATACCAAAAGTACAATTAAAGGATATTTATATTAAGTAAATAAAATATGTAATGAATTGTATTAATAATAGCATAAAATAAATGTTTTTTATAGGCCTATTTATTTTTCACTATATGGTATTTTGACTGTTCCAATGAATGCTAATGATGTCCTTCATAGTTTTACATCATTTCCAAAGTTGCAAGCTTTTAACACTCATAGCATTGCACTTATCTCAGAAATAAACAAATAAAGGCCGAATTCAAATATCAGTATTTGATTATCAGTATTGGCTGCACTCTAATGATGAGCATACACTGAAAGGGACTAAATGCATTTAGTAGGTGTAGAGACTCAATTAAACTCCCTTATAATCTGGTTTTCTGAGTATGTAATGATGATATCTGAGTCACACTTGCAAACAGTTTAATATTTGGGCCAGGACTGAAGGCAGTTGCTGATTACTGTAAGTGCTGCATTTCCTCTGTGTGCCCATACACCACACTTCTCTTCAAGGCTGCATGGCTTGCCAGTGCTATGCACGCAGAATGCATTGTTGTTGTCGTTGTTTTTTTTTTTTACAGAGTCAGCTTTTCTTTCTTTGTTAAAAGTTTCAATACCAAATTTGGATTTTGAAGGATATTTTGATGTTCTTCTAACCTGTCATCTTAAATAAAAGACTGATTAAAGCTCTGAACTCTGTAAGCATCTGGATGATAAGGGCTGTACTGTACATCTCATCCCCATGCTTTATGCTGGAGGTCACGCTAAAGTCGGCCTGTCACTTTTTAAGTCAAGGTAGATTCATTATCAGACCTGAAAGAGCTGAGACACATGAAAGCCGCTGCAGTTTGAGATTAGAGGGATCATCTAAGGACACCCCCTGACTCTGAAGACCTGCAGAGAAGGATGGAGAGAGAGAGGGCGAGTTGGGGGATGCACAGTATGTCCCATTTGAATTTGAATTGGCTTGAATTGCTCCTGTTGATCAGACTTCATTAGAGTGAACCTGCAGCATTAGCTAACACAGTCTTATGACGTCTTGGGACGTCTTTTGACCATACGTCAACATCCGCCTTTTTAGGGTACCCTTAAACGTCGGTTAGATGACGATCCCGGGCCGTCATAGAACTGACGCTTTACCTTTAACGTCACTTAGGTGACGGGGTAGGTTTAGGTCTGGGGTAGGGTTAGGATTTGATAACGTCATCTAACCAACGTTTAAGGGTACCCTAAAAAGGCGGATGTTGACGTATGGTCAAAAGACGTCCCAAGACGTCAGTTATATAACGTCTTGGGATGAGACTGCGCTGTAACTGCATTAGCATGGACTCCCTCATTAGCAGAGTGAGAGAACACCACACTCATTGAAGTTTTTAGGAATCAGATCCAGTCCTCCTGTCACTTGTTTCATCATCTGCTGTTAACTAGTGGTTGTTAGTAGCAGCATTGAAAGATTTGTATTTTTGTGTCAGTGCTGCTGCTGGCTCACCTAGATCCCTGCCAAGCAGGGCAGTGCCTGTGGGCAAAGCTTGGCAGCCCGTGGCAGATGGAGGATTTCTGTCTGTTGGGCTGTCTGGAGGCACACACAAGCCCGGAGAAGGGAACGTGGCTCTGAGCCTAGCCGGATTGTGGGTCATTGTTACATGAATTAAATCTGGGATTTTTCAGCAAGTATCCGTTTATTTCAGCATGTTTTAATAGGATAGTTCACACAAAAAAATATGTTATTTGTTCACCCTCAACTGAACCTTTATTCCATGAAACACAAAAGGAGATGTTCGGGAGAATGGGTGTGTTCCTTCCTTTCAAGGAATTCTCAAATTTACTGATAATTGTGCTGTAGTTCATGTTGTTTGCTGTCAATAATTCACAGTACATAACAATAAAACAGTAACTTATGGTTGCCATATTTCATCAAAATATATCATTTTAATCTACTTGAATACAAAAATCTGCTTTGTAAACTGAACTGATAACCATGCATGATAATACAGGTGGGTACAATAGAAAGCCACATAGTTAGGTGCCATACAGAGATGAGCCAAAACAACACCATACACAGATGGCATTCTGCACTAAACTATTACTAAATAACATAAAATGTAATTAAAACACCCTAATGTACATTATCTACATTAACAAAAAAAAAATAAACAAAACAGGTTGATCAAATATAGTCATGTGTGATGTGTCTCACAGGGACTTGAATGGCATTTTACTGTTTTCTTTTCACCATAAAATATACCTCAAATACCTTAATTATTTTACAGTAAAATATGTACCTATAGTAGTAATATATATATAATGTGATGTTAAACCATTTACAATTTT